CCAGGCAAACATCCAGCTTTAGCTACACGTGGCCTGCGCCCTGCCTCTCCCCGCACAGGTGAGCGTGGCCGAAGAGAAACACAGCCCTGCGTTGACTGGCTCTCTTTGCGTTTACGACCGTGCATCCCAGCGACCCTCAGTGTGGCCTGGCAATTCTACTCCCCTCTCCGAGTCCATCCCTTCTCAGAGTCCCGAGAGAGGGAGTCACGTCTCCTCTCCTGTCTTCGGCCCCTCTCTTGTGCTCATTCGCAGCTGGTTACTTACACTCCCCTGTCACTAAGACAAGAGGGACGATCAGAAGAGAGCTCCTACAGCTTTCACGAGCAAATTCGGCAAATCTCCTGCCTTTGCGACCCGTGCTCTGCCTTCCCACTGTTCCGATGGAAAGGAAGAGCCTCGCTCTGTTGTGAGGCCGAGGCCAGCGCTTGCGCACTAGTGTGTCCCCTCTGCTCCACGTGAGGGCTGTGGTCCTACAGTTGTCCCCTCTCTTCCTCTTGATCAACTCCCCTTTCCACCTCATTGTGCTTTTTCAGTGTACGTACAAGCCCATCTTTACAATGCCCTTTGGACCCTGTATGTCTTACCGAGTGTGCCACCGAATCTGCGCTACCCTCTAGAGCAAAAGCCGTTAAAAATACCGTCTGTCCTCAGTGTGCCACGTACTTACCTCTCATTTTGTCTTTAATCGATCTACTTAGGCTTTTGTTCCCAGCATTCCATTAAAATTCCTTTTCCCAGGGTCATCAGTGACTTCCTTACAGCCAAGATCAATGGTCGGTCCTGACCCTCGATCTTCCTAGACCTCCCAGGAGCACAGAGCGAGGGTTTTCCCTCCCTCTTTCATTAAATCTCTCTCTTTTTTTTCCATTTGGTTTACAGATCTCACGATTCCACAGTTTTTCTCTAAATCCCCGCAGCCGCTCCTCCTCTGCGTGACCTCTAACTTTTCACGTGCTTCAGATGGTTCCTTGTTTTACTAACAGATGGAACCGAATGGGCGTATTAAGCTCTTGGACCAAAATATGCAAATATTCACACACGATTATAGACACGCAATTGTTCATTTTGATAACACCGAAGACCTAAATCGGTCAATCGAACGTGAAGTTTATTTAATAAGTGTAACAAATGAGGGTTGCTAAGCACTGGGAATACAGACAGGCGGATCAAACTGACTCCTTTGTCTCTTTTAAGCCGGATAACGCCTGTGTGCCAGGCATTGTTTGTGTATTATCTCACTTAATTTTCACAACTCTCCGAGGATAGTAATATTATTACATCTATCTTACAGATGAGGAAACCAAGGTTTAGAAAAACTATATAACCATCTGTGGGTTTTAGACCTTGTCAGTGGCTGAACGGGGCTCTGAGATCGGCTGTCTGGCATTGCACATCATCCATGCCAAACTTCAATCGTTTTTGACCCAAAACAGTAGCAATTTCACGTGGTTCGACCTAATAATATTAAGTCGTTCCTCTGGAATAAGGGAAACTTGTAGGTTGGGGATGTGCCAGACAAATATTATATGAAGTATAAATCGGGGGAAATAATGGCAAAACACCATCACGTAGTGGCTTTTCGTAGTGGACGGAATTTAGCTGACTTAGTCAAGCAATTGCACGCAAGCACAATCAGGTGATTAGTCTTCCTATTGATGGCCCCAAGTGGTGCCGAAAACGGATCACGACACCTGGCTGTCGTGTTTAAATCAGACACCTCTCAAACACGTCAACGAACTCACATTTTACTATTTCTCGAATAAAAACAGGCAGTTTTCTTTTTGCTTTGAGATTTTGGGGTCCTTTGACAGCTTGGGCTGCGGCCTTTCAGCCGGAGTGTTGATTATTCAAACAATGTGTGTCGAGTGCTAGATAAATATTGAGAATCAGAGAAATGGATTATCAAGGATTAAAAAGATTAGACACCTAGACTGAAGTCTTCCAGAAACAACCTTGGTTTTCGAAGGAGTTCTGCCAAGAGAGCTGGTTGAGGGGAGCACAGTTATAAACGAGGTGCCCACTAGCCACGTCTTCCTCTCTTCTGCCCCAGAAACTCACGGCCCCCGTTTTCAACAAATGCTCTCCCAATGCACTTCCCCAGGCTTCCCATGACAGGGACTCACAGCCGTGCCGAGAGGTTGCCTTGGACATTGAGGCTTCGAGAGATTAAGGGACCTGGCTTGTGGGTCTGTGATTTAGTGGGCGGCAATGGCCGGGAGTAGATGTCACGGCGGTTCTAGAGTTTTCTAAGGGAGGAGTACTGAGGTGTATAGGTTATGTGTCTAATTAGGTGGGAAGTCCTGAGAAAAATGGAGGAAAGGGTATGGAGTCTGACAACATTTCTCAAAAGAAAACATGCTGTTGCGTGATTTCTTGAGTTTCGCCATTCCTGAGTTTGCGATGTCATCTAGGAAACAGGATGTGCAGTCTTACTCGCGGGGGAGAGGGTCGATCTTTACACAGGGAATGTTGTCCGTCAGCGAATCCTGGAACCGACTGTCATCCCTTCTCCGGCATTTAGGGTCGAGCTTTCTTCTTCGCGGACATTTAAGCCGTTTGGAAAAAGAATTATGGTCTCATTGTCGTTTTATGTCAATAACGAATCACAGGTGGCAAAATAACCAACTTGCGTAAGTAATCATTGTCTGCGCCCCCAGAATTTCATTGATAGGTAATTATCGAGAATTTGCCCTAATCAGCACAATTTGTATTTGCATAACATTTTATCAAGTTGAAACTTTTTTCTACTTGCCAACATGGCAAACTGTCATGGGCTGTTGAACGCCTCTTCCCAGATCAACCTGGAAAGCACTAGAAAAACCAGTAAAGCGTGAATTTTATGAATAATTTTTTTTAAAAAAAGCCTGTGTGAAATTCTTGAGGAGTCTGAGCCTTGGATGGGGTGGGGGTGAAGATGGGGATGAGGCTGGAAAGGGGGCGGGAGTCTGGGGTGGCGAGTGGCTGGAGGGGCAGTTGAAGGAGGGACACTAAAAGCCCTGCCCGGCGACCCAGCTCCTGCAAAGACGTGCAGGTGGACCCGTCGTACGATGACAAGCGCTGTGACGAACCTCCCTTCTCAGCCGTCCGAACTGGGGGCCCGCCCATATTTTCTCCTGGTGCCACTGTTTCCTAGCACTTCAGCTGTGAAACTCCCGGTAAAGTGGCAGCAAACAGGGATGGCCGACGGTGGCTCTGTGACGGACGCCTGGGGCTGTCCGCTGGAGGCTTCTCCCTGCCCCTGCCCTGAAATTTGCCTCGAGGAGCAAAGACGGGGACCAGGTGTCGGTGCTTCTGCGACACGCAGGACCCGCGTAGCCCTCGCTGCCAGGGGACATGAAGACGCTCGCCCAAAGGTGACGATGCTCTGAGCCGACAAAAGGCGGACCCCACAGGGAGGAAAGGGGAGGAGGGGCCGCGGGCCGCCGGAGCCGCGGTGGTTCCATTTTCCTCCCAGCGTCCCCGGCGTCACTTTCCCTTGCTCTACAGCTTAACAATCGGTCGTCCCCAGTGGCCTAACCCTGACCCAGAGCGTGGAATGGCCCCTGCCATAGAAAGTGGCCCCGAAACTTATGGCGAATGCCCTTGCGCGTACTGATCGCAGCCCTTCTGGTCTAGAGATCTTTCCAGACTCCCCCCATCTTTGTTCCTGGGGTACTGATGCCACTGGAGGATCGCGTTGCCAGAGGACGCCCCCACGCCCCCAACCCGGACCGTCACGCAGCCCCTGGCACGATGCCCAGGGTTCCCCTTAAGCACCCCAAGCCGACGGAGAAGGCGTTAACCTGCTGCCTTCTCGGATCACGCGTGCCCCGACGACAGACGCTTATTCTAAATAGCCCGACTGCGTGTCTGTCTGTTGGCTGAGCGCACGAACCCCTTCCTTCAGCCAGCACGTGGTAGTTCGTCTCAGTCTGCTACGGAGATCGGGGGGCGTTCTCAGGTTTTGGGGTACAAGACTTTGTGTGTTCACCAGTTGGCGGTGTGACACGGGGGAAGCAAGCGGCCATCCGCACGGAAAGAATGCTAAGCCAGCCCCGCGTCCCCTCCGAGAGAGACGCAGATGTGGCCACACCAAAGCTCCTCTCTCTGCGTTCGTCAGGTCCGCATTGTTTCCTCTTACATGGCCACGGACATTCCCAGCCCAGGGCACCGTAAATCTGCCCGAGGGCAAAGGAACCTCCTCGGATTTGGAGTAACCGCCTTGCCTCGTACAGAATCTCGACCCTCACAGGCAAGGAGACCTGCGCGAGGCCCCCCTCCCCCCGGTGGTCGGTGGCACAGCACAGGTGAGCACCAAAGGCCCGGGTCTGCTCCGCCTGGAGCTTCGACTGTCATCTCCCCCACAAACCGCAGTCTACACCACAGGGTCCACCCCCGCCCGGTCACCGCTGCTCAGAGGTTGAGCAGGCACGTCGCCCCCCCTCTCCTATGCACACCAGGGCTGCAGCCAGGGAGGAGCTATTCTGAGGCGGCGGGAGGGAGGCACGGACCCGGAGGAGGGAAGTGGAGAAACGCTGGGCTGTGTTTCCTGAGTCTGACTTCACCTTTCCTCCCCATCTC